CCTAAATTTAAGACAGCTCCCTTCCAGACTTAAGCCAATTATTTGGAGGCCTTGATTGGCAGGCATATGGTTTTCTTACGCAGTATCATAACCTGCGCACAATTATATTAGCGCGCATTTATTGCAACGCATTAATTGCGCATCGCTTTTGATTGACCGTGTGATGTCACAATGCTTATCAGTACCAAATATTTTACTAAAATTTTGTCTAAGGTAAGTAGAAGTCTAAAATGCAATTTGAATAGAGATAAGTAAATTTCTTAGCTGAGCCATTTACTTAGTAAATTTCTTACTTATTCCAAGTATTGAATTGAATACCGGCCCAGGTCTTTAATGACGTGAGATATGTTTTTTGTACATTACAGTAAAATAACCACCAACATCAGAATCAAGATGGACACCCAAACTGTAAACCTGGAAGGTACTACATCTATGGAACCACCTGAAGGCACATCCTTTGTTTATGATACTAGGAGCCAATTAGCTGTAATCGTTGGTTCTTTACTCATTATCATAGGAATACTTGGTTCCTTTGGAAACCTGATGGTCATTCTGGCCGTCTCCCTCTGCCGAAATCTGCAAAACAAAACCCATGTGTTTGTGGTGAGCCTCAGCGTCGCTGATTTTATCACGGCACTGACCCTTCCATTTCAAGGTTTCTCAGTGCTCTCTGAGACTGGATGGCCTTTTGGCAATGGGTTGTGCAAACTGTTTGGAGCCTTGCTTATTTTTACGTTAGCAGTCAACTTCTTTACTTTGGCTGCAATAGCGGTTGACCGTTACATCCACATCACGAAGAGTATCAGACTGCAACAGAAGATCTACACTCGCAGTAGCATTGCTATCATGGTAGCATTCCTGTGGCTTTTTCCCTTCCTGGGGATGGTTGTACCACAGCTAATTCCTGCAACAGGTGGTATAAAGTATAGTCCTGACACGAGGACCTGTGGTTGGGACTTTGGGCATCCCATGCATGGAGTGTTTCGAAACATAACCTCAGCATGCGCCATGTTTTGCACCGCCCTGATCATCTTCTGCTATGTTGCCATCATGCTCTATGTCCGGAGGCATATCAGAGAGACAAGGGACATACTGAGGGTATCTTCTGGCAATATCAACAACCTAGTGGCATCACCTACTGGATCAAGTAAGATGCAGATTGACATCACCAAGAACATGGCGGTTGTTATAGTGGCCTTCTTCCTTTGTTTTCTCCCTTATTCATGCAGTACCTACTTATATAAACCAGAAATATGTGCTTCTTTGTTCTTCTTTGTGCTTCTCACTCTTTCTACTTGTCTGAACCCTATGATATATGCTGTCAAGCATCCTACATTTAAAAAAGTTTTCAAGTGCATGGTCTACTTCAGGTTCCATGATATTCCTCGGCCATCAGCATGGCTCAAGAATATTCTCTGTGAAAGAAATGTGGCTTCATCTAGGGCTTAATTTGTCAATCTTTTGCAAATCTTTCGGTACTTGGCACAGTTTTTGCACATAAGTATACTGTATCACTGACAAAAAATGTGGAAGGCACAGTTGGTAATAATTGATAGTCACACACAAGACCTCGTAGGAAACCACTTTTAACCTTCCCCATATCTGGGATATCGTAGCTTTGACACTAATATGGTAAGCTTAGATTGAAAATCTCAAGTTAAACTTGACATAAAGGTAAAGTGTTGAGAAAGTTGAGGAAATTGACCCGTAAGATTAAATTTTCAAAAGCATCGTCAAGTTTGCAATCAGAATGTATGTGAGCGCACACTCACAGTCATGCAGCCAAAATGGTCAAGCATGATGTCAATGCCTATCGTGAGAAGCAAAACTTCTATTCAATTCAGTGGAAATTAAAAGATGTTTCTAAAATCGTACCATGTTAAAAGTATTGCAGCAATTTCAATCAATGGTATTTCGATAGAGTCTAAAATTCAGTCTTGGGTAACACTGGCAGGGGGGTGGGGGGGGGGGGTGGGGGTGACACAACTGGCCTGTGCCCACATTTTTTTTCTTTTTATCTCTCTTTTGCTTGGTCAGAAAAAACAATTATAGTAATAAAAAAAAACACAACAACACTTAAAATCCCTGATGCCATTTCTTTGGTTCAGACTATTCTGACACAAACCAAACTATAAGTTTCATCTTTCCATTACCAAACACCATTTGTTGCTGATACCGCCAAACTGTATTTTGTATAAATTTCCAAGTGATATGTAACAAAACTATTTTTAAAGAAATATTTTGCTGTCTAAATTTCAATTTCATGTCATCTTACAGCTGGCAAATGTGCATACCTTTCCCCATTTAAATATAAGTATTATTGTGTATGATACATACATCTCAAAGGATGAGCCTAATTCAAACTGTGCCCACATTTTTTTTCTTTTTATCTCTCTTTTGCTTGGTCAGAAAAAACAATTATAGTACTAAAAAAAAACACAACAACACTTAAAATCCCTGATGCCATTTCTTTGGTTCAGACTATTCTGACACAAACCAAACTATAAGTTTCATCTTTCCATTACCAAACACCATTTGTTGCTGATACCGCCAAACTGTATTTTGTATAAATTTCCAAGTGATATGTAACAAAACTATTTTTAATGAAATATTTTGCTGTTTAAATTTCAATTTCATGTCATCTTACAGCTGGCAAATGTGCATACCTTTCCCCATTTAAATATAAGTATTATTGTGTATGATACATACATCTCAAAGGATGAGGGAGATTAAATCTAAGCTGAACAGTAAATCATTATTGGCATAGACCGGTTTACCATCATATTCAAATTGTATGCATACTTTTGAAACAAAGGTTATTCTTGAAAACCTGAAGGCTTGCCCTAGACTTGCCCCACACAGCAACAAATAATGTATGCAGACTGGATTCCAAGTATTGTAGTTCATTCATTAATAACAGGTTAATGGAATACCTTGTCACTAGGTCCCCAGGAAAGAAACATCCATAAATTTGAATATGTTAGTAATCCGGTCTTTTCTGGTGTGTCCGGAAATAAAAATGGGAAAAACAATCAAACACATATAAAGCACTTGAAATGGTAATATAAATGCTATCTATAATTATATTGCAATCGTTATATAAATGATGTTCCGTTTCTAATGTTATAATTATTTTTTTAGAATGTTTTTATGTTTGTGATGATGTACATTTGCTATTATCGTAATGTGTAATTTTTCTTGTATTATGTACATGTACAATGTCTGTAAAGCCAGTGAATTTTTTTTCTTCCTGAATGGACAATAAACGTCAATTCAATTTAAATTGTAATCGCGTGCATTAAAGGGACTTGGTAACATTGTTCAGGTGAGAGATAGTGGTGCTAATGTAGTGTCTTCAATGCTAGATGTACAATTAAAGATAATCTGAAAATTTGAGTGAAAACGGACCATTATTCATGGTACAAATTGGGAAAAACTGATCTGATTGATTCCTTAATTCTCCCAACTATATTGTTACAATTCCATTACATTTTAGGTGAATGTAAACCGTCACAAAGCAATAAAATGGCTCTACATTCCATTCCAGACATTTAAGTGTTGACAGATTTTTTATAGCCTGTTTTATGTCTTTTTTTCATGGAAAAACGGTTGGGAAAATTCAAAAATGGTTGGGAGAATTTACTGTTAATCACTGTTAAGAGGGTGCCTCACATCGACGCCTTCAAAGAAAACCATAGATATCTTCGTGGTTTGAGAATTTTTTCAGGATTTTTTGCATGTCAGAGGGTTAGTACAGTAGAAGGAATATAGTAAGTAACATTTTATACAAAAATTAAGCAATTTTTTTCATCAACCTTCAACAATGTTACCGCATCACTTTAAGGACGGCCAAATTAAAGGATGTAGCCAGAAATGAACGTAATCTTTATTCAGTATTCGTATTGTAAAAGACTGTTTTGATTACCTTTATTTTCACTTTCTATATTATTGTTTCCTCATAATTGACAATCATAATTCTTACATGTAAGTTATATTTTCAGTAGAAAGAGAAACTCTGAAAGAAGCTTTTGTCACAAAGAGGCAAGCCACTTGGCTAATATATATAAGGCTGATTCCTCTGTAGACATCTGCATATGTACTTTTTGTTTTAGCTCTCTCTCTCTCTCTCTCTCTCTCTGTCTCTCTATCTCTCTCTTTGATAGTATGTACTTTAAAATAAAATCAGTGTAAACCAGAAAAAATGAGTCACTGAACTTTTGGGAGTTGTTATGGACAGCTATTCTCAGAGGAAGAAACTTTTGCAACTTGCAAAAATTCCTTTGCTGCATTAATCACATATAGTCAAACCTGCTTTAGCAACCACCTGTATCAACCTGAGTCAATACGGAAACTACTAAACTGGAAGAACAATAATGACAATCATGATGCTACTACTACTACTTATAACAATAAAAGCAATGCTATGAGTATTTGTATGATTAGTTCATTCAAAAATGTTATTTTGAATTTACTCTGTAACAAATCCTGTAGAGATGAACATAGTGTTATCACAAAGACATGTAAACAAACATATTGCATGATAAAGAACACTTTGATTAGTTGGGAAAACTATAACATGCAGTTAAGGGTCTATCGACCTTAACATTTAGTAGGCAAGCCTTTGTCCACTCCTTTGGGCTTTCTCAAGCCAAGTGATTATTCCCAGTTTCTTGCTGTCTGCTGCCTCACCATCACTGGAGTACAGATATGTGACAACTGACAACAACATTGGATGGAATGATGCCCATGTTATTGACTTTGAAACACATTTCTGGTCAAGAAAGGTGAATGAATCCATCTGGATGAAAATGATTAGGCCTAGTCCTTCACTGAAAAGGGACTCTGGCTATTCATGTCACCTACCTTCGCTCCAGTGATCTTGAGGCAGCAGACAGCAAGAAACCATAAATATTGCATTAAAGAAAAAACATAAGAAATTATGTATCTTGACTTACATTAGAGCTGCTTTCCATGAGCAAATCTGCCTCTCCACCCGCAGCTGGACGTCTGAACTGCTCTCCAATTTCAAACTCCCATTTCACCTCTCTTCCAAGTACATTCTTACTCTTCCACTTACGCACTGCACATAAAAGACAAAACAGAAAGCTTACAATACATAGACATTCAAAACAAATATCTCTCCATAAGATAATGCTTTTAAGAAGCACAGCTCCAGTTTTGTAGGAACCGAATCACCTCTCCAACCTGTTAAATTTAATATCTTTTAGAACAAATTATGCATCCTTGCTATTTGGATCCTCACAATAACCAGTCAAAACATATATACATGTAGCTTGTGGTGACCACATGATTACATGTAAAATTGTAAATTGTGCTGTGTTGAACTAAATGCATGGAATACACATTTACAGTGATTGTTCTTGTTAATTTTGAATAAATAAATGAACTTACGAAACCCCCAAAATAACCATCTTAAATATTTAAACAAAATAATAGCATAAAGTATTTTTTTATATAGGAAACCACTACAAGCCATGTAGGATGCTGTACCCTTGACCTAGACCTTGTTCCAAACTGAAAATCAAAGCAACCTTTCATCTCTTACCTACCGGTAGTAAGTCATTGGTTTTGACGTCACCTTTCATCTCTTAGTCTTACCTAGTAAGTCATTGGTTTTGACGTCATACTCCTCCACAAGCTCTCTACCATCCAGGAGGATAAAATGAAGCTTTCTTCTTCCTGTGAATGATGACAAAAATAAATAGTATTGTAACTTAGTGCTGTGCTTTGGTGGTAAATTTACTACCCTTTTAGACGTAATATATTTCGGATAGTTTACCAAACTTTACAGTTGAAACAGAGAAACTAATGAATTCCAAAACTTTTGACACGATTGTAAGCAATTAAAATGGCAAAGCCAAAGAACATCATGCGATGGACGATAAGAATAATGAATATCACATTCTTTTCCCCTTTATTTTAATGTGCATGAATTTGGACACCCTATCACTTTATGACAGTATGATCAATATATTAAAAAAGTAAAAGTAGATCTAGACCCTAGGTCTAAACAAAGCAAGGGGCGAAAGGCCAAAATTAAATTGTTATTGAAACCGTCTTTGAAAATTTATGAATCTAAGTTTGACAAAACTTCCAAAACAAAGCATGGAATGAAGCATGTTGTTGTTGTTGGTAAATGTTTTATGGCGTTCATTCAGTATCGAATATATACACCATAAATATCTTCAATTTTATAAGAAAATCAGTTAGATCTAGATCTATAGACCTAGAATCTAGTCTTCATAAGAAAACTGAGAATAAAGATTTGTAATGAAATAATTAATTAATAAGTAACGCAATTTATCCAGAGTCTCTGGATGGTTTGCAACTTCATGTTTCTGCTTTTTTAAAGTTTAATCTGGTCAGCCCAGTTTCGATTGCATGGAAACTAGCTTTGCCCGATTTGAAATAGGCTTCTCGGCTACTCGGCGTGCGTGTGCATTGATCTTTTTATTTTGTAACGCACGGTGCCTAGATCTATACACTCAGAAACACAGAAACATGAAGCATGGAATGAAGCATTAATTAATCTGATTGCAAACGTGGGCACAGCTTGATTTTGTAATGTGGTGTATTTTAAAACACTCGAGATTTCTTCTTCAGCACAACCGCTCAAGCACACCGGGAAACTTGGGTGGGCATCGAGTCTAGTCCAGCCTAGTCCCATATGCTGCATGTTTTGTGAGTGAATAAAGCTCGGCCGACTACTCATTCTGCCCACATTTTGTCATCAGTTCAGTATTATAAAGATAAATTCCCACACATGTACATTCTATGCATACTTTTAATTGTAGGTAAAATACATTACCGTCCTGAATTAATGCTGTTTTACGTGATTGTCTAAGTGTCTCCAACCACGCCATTGAAGAGGCCATCCTAGACCTAGACCGAAAGCTTCAGTCTCTATACCGTCGGTTGTTCCACTGAGACTACGTCTGGCTCCACTTACCTCCGGTTATAGAGACAGAACGATCGCCTATGCCAGCCTGTGTTGAACTTATTCCGCTAGATTCTAGCCGTTAGGCCCCTCCCACAAACATCACAAACTTGGGGAGAAATAGGCCTAGATACATCATTTATCTCCAATTGCAGTAATTTTCTAGGCAATTGTCAGTCCCTAAAAGTTCCCTTTTTACCCCCCTTCCCCACGACATAGAAAAAAATAAAAAATAATAGGACTTACCGAGCTTTTGGCTGCTTCTTGATGACCCACGTCAAGCATTCTGACAGACAGAAAACAAAATGGCGGCTAATGAATATTCAAATATACGATGATGGGGATGGTTGACCTCGCCTCGGCTAGCTCCTCCGCGCGGCACGTCGAGGATAGCGCGCGCAAGTGAAGCAGACAACACGAGAACTCAAACGTGAGTAGTAGCAGACGACAAAAATGGACTCCGCACGCGCAGCCCGTGAAGTTTTCGGCAGCAGCTTTGTCCTCCGCGACGAGCAGAGAAATGCCCTTGACGCCCTACTCCGCGGAAAGGACACCTGGGTACAGTTGCCGACAGGCTACGGGAAATCTGTGATTTTTACACTTTTCCCAATATTAAAGTCCAAGGTGACACCTTTATTTTTTTTTCTCTTTACCTCTTCAGAGGGGCTTTATTGTTCCATTTCAAAATGCATATATATTATTTACAAAACAAGTAGTCATGAATTACATACAAGATCAAAATAATATAGGATTTCCCGGCCAAATTTGCGAGTTTGTCATTCAAATTAATTTGTCTTGCGTTCAAATTCGACGGTTTTAGTGCAGTCAGGTATATCTCGGGTTTATATTCTTTTTTCCAGTTTTCAAATCTATGGAATTTTCGTTAGAATCTACGTATGTTTCATTCAAATTAATGAACAATGTGCTTTTTCGCTATTTGGTCATTCGATTTGGCGCAACACGATTTCCTGACAACGCGGTGTTACTTCTAGCATTCGAATTCATTTGTAGCAATCAAATTAGCACTTTGTGCACTTAAATGATGGTCAATATACATTTCTCGTTTATTACACACTTTTTATAGCTCATTATTTTTCTTTCAAGATTGTTTTTTTCATGTGTATTTCGTCATATTTCATTTTCTTGCATTTATACACTTATACTTATTAGATTTATCTGATATTCATCAGCATTTAAGTTTGATTGTTAAGAAGAAAAAACGACTTGCATCTACGGACCTGATGGTCTCAGTATATTTGTAAATGTTCATGTAAGGAAGTTGTTTGTCTTATGTTTCATCATAAATTTATCATAATTTCATTATAATTTCATTATGGAAGAAGGGTACAAATATTGTGACTGGGGTAGAGACTAGAGTCAACAATTTGAACATGATTCATTATTTAGCCATGTCTTTAGCCATCGATCTGCTGGCGGGCAAGTAAACTATGAAACTCTTCAAGAAAAACAGAGGGATGTGCTGGGTATAAGAGACGATGTGAATTACTTTTGTAAAATTCCGAGTCTGTAGTAAAAAGGGGCGATTTTTGCCGGGTATATGAACATGTCCGTGCAGAAATGCCATATCCCTTGATTTCGCCCCTTCTTTACTTTACGTCTGACTACACCCATCTGCATTGTCCTGAAAATAAATAAATGGAATAACAGCTTAGACCCAAATGGCAAATCATGCATTTAATTGCATTATTTAAAAACTGTAAAAGTTTGCTGCAATTCTTCCCCCTAACATTCCTAACTTGAATAAAAAATATTACGAATACGAATGACAGGTGTTAATTTGAATGATAAAAATTACACTTCGACAAATGAATATTAATTTGAATGCTAGTTGAGCAGTTTCTAAATTGAATGACAAATCTATGGGTGTCGATCTGTAACTGATACCTATTCATCAGGGGGGGGGGATGATCTATTCATTCATCCCCCCTGATGAATAGGTATTACGTAAGGATCGACACCCATTGAAACCCTTCGACCAAAATCCTAAATTAAATACAAAAACTGGAAAATTGAATGATAATTGGCATGACAAAACCGATCTGCGCTAAATCAAATGCAAAGTAAATTAATTCGAATGACTAACACGCGAATTTGGCCGGGAAATCCTATATCTTAAAAATGGTCATTTTAACATTTCTAATACTTTCTTAACTTCTTCAATATCGAAGTACTTTATATTTTCTTTTTATTTCAAAAAACATTTAAATGATGAAATAAAATTATTTATTAACCTCTTTGGATTGGTTGGGGCTTCTCCAAAGTTTCGCTTTACGTAGTCTTTGTATATAACCTGTTGAGCATAATCTATCCAAAAATTAAGTAAAGTAAATTTTCTGTTATCTATTTTATATCCAATCAATAAAATTTTCATATCAATTTCAATTTCTATTTTTAAAATGAAATATATAATTCTTGAGATAATTTTCCAGAAAACTCTTAATTTCTTGCAACGAAATATAAAATGTTCAATAGTTTCTTTTTCACGACCGTGTTTCGCATTTGTTAGACTGTACGATTTTCCATATAAAGAGATTGTCTTTTGATGGCAGTATTCTATGAATTAATTTAAAATTATATTGTTTGATCTTGTTGTCTCTTATGTTATTAAATTTGAACTGAAATACATCTTTCCAAACAAATGTTTCTGGTAGGCCTAGAATATTTTGCCAAAAATGGAAACCAATTTTCTCTTTTTTCTTTTCTAGCATTAAATTATAATAACTTTTCTCTGTAGTAAATTCAACGTTTATAACATCTAAAGTTGTCTCAATGTACTAGGCGCGGATCCAGGGGGGGGGGCGAGCAGGCCTTGCCCTCCCCCCCCCCCCCGCAAAAAAAAAGAGAGAAGAAAGGAAAAGAAGGGAAAGAGGAGAGAAAGGGAAAGAGAGAAGAAGAAGAAGAAGAAAGAAAAGGGGGGAGAAGGAGATCGGGGGGGGGGGGGGCCGAAAAGGCCTTGCCTCCCAGGCTGTTGCCCCCCCCCCCAATCAAAAAAAATAAAAGAGAAGGAAGGGAAGGGAAAGAAAAAAGGAAAAGGGGAGATACTGGCGAACTGATAGGGGGTAGGGGGCTTGGGGAAAATCAAATTTAAACGTGGTTTATTTCTAATTCCATAACGGTGAATTACAAATAATGCTGAAATGACATAATTTCCGAGATTTTTCCTCACTTTTTAGTAAATTATACGTTTTTATGTGACAAATTCCTAAATTTACAGCCAGGCAAGATATGTGATTCTTGAGATCCCTACATGTCAGGGCCCGAGGAACGTCGGGGATCGAGAGCCTCGAGCCCCCCACCCCCACTTTTTTGAAAAGGTATATTAAAGAAAAATAAAAAAAGAAAGAGAGCAAGAAAGAAAAAATAGTTAACTGCCAATGTCAACAAAATAATGAGGCATAAAAATATGCTCATCTGATTGTGATTAAATACCTAAAGCCCCCAAGCTTCCGGGGGGGGGGGGCTCTACTGGCCCCTGGATTCCACCTAGGGCCCTTTAGATTCTCATCTGACGGTAATTTAATGTCTAAAACCCCTGAGCCTCCGGGGGCTCCACCGCCTCGACCCCACCAGGGGCCCTATAAGGCGGGCCCCTGAATGCTTATCTGACCGTAATTTATTGCCTTTAACCCCTGAGCTTCTGGGGTCGGACAAGTTATCGAAATGTGTTTATCTGACCGCAGGCGCGTAGCCAGGGGGGGGGGGGGGGCTGTGGGGGCGGTCCCCGAAAATCGCCGTCAAAATAAAAAAAAGAGAGGAGAGAAAAGAAAGAGGACGTAGGAATAAAAAGGAGCAGACAAAGAACATCTTTGAAATTCAGACAAGGATTAAGAGTAGAGAACGGTACAACGCATCGTCTTCTTTCTCTAATGATTTAATAAAACGTCAAAGCTTCCGCGCTTCGCGCAGGAGGGGAGGGGAGGGGGAACTGAATTCAGACAAGGATTAAGAGTCGAGAACGGTACAGCGAATCGTCTTCTTTCTCTCACAATCTTATGAAACGTCAAAAATTCCGCGCTTTGCGCAATAGGGGAAAAACTGAATTCAGACGAGAATTATTTTCGAGAACGGTACAACGAATCGTCTTCTTTCTCTAATAATTTTAATAAAACTTAAAAGCTTCAGCGCTTCGCGCGGGAGGGGGAGCCTGAATTCAGACGAGAATTTAGAGACGAGAACTGTACGACGAATCGTATTTTTTCTCTAATGGTTTAATGAATCGTAAAAGCTTCCGCGCTTTGCGCGGGAGGGGGGGGGGAACCTGAATTCAGACGAGGATTTAGAGTCGAGAACTGTACGACGAATCGTCTTTTTTCTCTAATGGTTTAATGAATCGTAAAAGCTTCCGCGCTTTGCGCGGGCGGGGAAAAACTGAATTTAGACGAGGATTATTTTCGAAAACGGTATAACGAAACGTCTTCTTTCTCTAATAATTCAATGAAACGTCAAGAGGGAGGTGGGAACTCACCCCTCCCTGCACCCACCCCCTCCCCGCATTACGTCACTGCTGGTCACCATTACGTACCAATATTTGGCTCGCATAATTTCAAATTTGGGCCTCCCCCCCTAAGAAATCCTGGATCCGCGCCTGCAATGTACATTGTTTCATTGAGACTTGAGGCTTTGTTTAAACGTAAATTTTGTGACCAATATTTATGGGAATGCTTTTTTTCAATTTTGACATTTTAAATAAAAACAACAGATTCTTTACATCAAAATGGTTATTGAAGGTGACACCTTTATAGTTCCACTGTATCAAATATAAGGCGTTTAAAACATGTCACTTTCAGTTGTGTCCATACCCTTAGATGAGTAACAGCAACAAAACACCCATTTTGTCAAACTGTATGTAGACTTATAGGCCTATAGATCTTCTGTCGCTGTAGTTTATAAACTGTTTTTTTTGTTGTAATGATGTAGGCCTATAGCTTATCATTCCATTTTTTGGGTTGTCAAGGTGCCCGGAAGGTGCTCATATGAGTATGATTAATTCAATCATGTCAAAAACAACAACAAACATAGGGAGTATAATGAAGGGCCTCGGATCGTTTTTGAAACCGGTGCGTGAAATTTGTGCAAGTTATAGCCAGCAAGATAAAGATACTCTATTACTTTTATTGTTTTGTACACTATGTAATCATGTAATTAAAATAAATTTAATAATGTGTAAATTGTATTGCATTAAGATCACACCCTCAAAAGGGTCATTTGTGAAATGCTAGAATGCAACTAATAATGCAATCATTCTCTCCTTTTCCCTTTTCCGTCCTGTGAAATAACTATCCCGACTACAGACTGAGAAAGAACCCAAGACCGCTTTGGTGGTTTCACCCCTTAAGGCTCTAATGAGAAACCAGAGAGGAAAATTGCAAGAGTTAGGAATTCGCGTCATCTCAATCACAGAAGATGAAGCTGAGGTTAATCTTGCAGGTAAATTTGCCCTTAAAGGTACTATGTCCCATTTGCAGGCCCCCAAAATGAATAGGTTAAATTACAACGGCATTTGAAAGATAATACTAATTTAGAACTTCCCTACAAAAAGGGGGGCTTGTAAGTGTCTTTAAGTGGAAAAATAACGACTCTTAGGTGTCAAATCGACTTACGAGCTATAGAGCCAGTAAGTACTAGTCTGATTTTTCAGACCATTGTACTGAATGGTCGTACTGACATTTTATGCTGCGCAAAGTTTCAATAAGTTTAATTTTGGCCATTACAAGAATTAGTGGGTTATTGATGTAGACAAATGCTCATGTACCCTTTACAGCTCATTTTATGTATGTTATTACCAAAGATGAAAAAGGCAGTCAGTCACTCAATAGTGTCTGACAGTGCAGTCTAGCAAGTAAACGGGTTTCCTTGCATAATTTGAATATTAGGACACTGCTAACGTTTAAAGCCCAAGTCCACTCCAAAAATAACTTACTTTCAATAGAACCAGAAAAATCAGACAAACCAATCAAAAAAGTTTGAGCAAAATCGGATAACTAATAAGAAAGTTATGAATTTTTAATGACATGAAAAACTTTGAAAATCACTACACAAATTGCCAATCCACTCGTGAGTCTGTGACGTATGGTCCTCACTATTCACTAATTATTTTCTTTATATTTATTATATATATTTCCTATTTCCCCCTAAGAATCTTATTTCTTCACACCAGCATCCAAGTTAGATTGATAATAATATGTTTTTGTGTGGATGCACTAATATAGAGTAATTTGGTTTCCAGTTAAATCACCAAAAATTTGATTTTTGATGAACTATTTGTATAAAAATCAATAATTATGAAATATAATATTCAGAAAAATAGTATCAATTCTTCAAAATTTATAAAAGATTTGGGGAAATGTCATGCACGCAATATGATACAAATCATATAACCTGGGCAAAGGCATGGGGAAATCAAGTTTTGGGGGATAAAAAGGGAAATTAATGGGATTAAACTATATAAAGCAATTGATAAGTAGTGAGGATATGACGTCACAAACTGAAAACCAAATTGGCAATTTGTGTAGTGATTTCCATTGTTTTTTTAGTTTTACATACTTTTTCAAAAGTTTATAACTTTCGTATTAGTTATCCGATTTTGCTCAAACTTTTTTTGATTGGTTTGTCTGATGTTTTTCGGTTCTATTAAAGGCAAGTTATTTTTGGAGTGGACTTGGGCTGACATACATGACATATTCATAATTCCTGCAAAGTTTTACAGAATTTGATGTTGGCTGCAAAATTGATATAGTATCTTTAAGTGGTGTATCTATAGGGGCAGGAAATGAGAAGCAAACTAACTATGATAAAAGGAGATAAAAGGAAAGGGAGAAAGGAAAACGAGAGACTATATGACCCCTTTCCGCAACTTCCCTCAGTAGATATAAGCTCTCCCCCCCCCCCCCACCACTGTTGCCATTTCCCCCCTCTATTTCTCCAATATTGCATATTGCATTCTGTAAATTATTTTGGAAGGTTGACCTGTATTGATTATCAAAATAAATGCACCTCTTTATACAAGAATATACTTTCCCGTTATTTACTTTTTATTAATTTTTCATTGATAATTCACAAACTTTATAACACATATAGAGATATAAATGTATGAGAACATTCTCCATTCAGTAAACTCCATTACCATGATTACTCAGAATGCCAATGACGTTTAAAAACGAAATCAATAGTTTTCCAGACGTTTTTCAACACTTAATTTTTGGGAGTAGGCCTAACTTATTGATAAGAAACCATAATATACACACTTCAGGCCCCTGTTGCATTACAGTGGCGGATCCAGAGGGGCGGGGGCTCCCGCCCCCCCCCCCCTGACGCTCAGGGGGGGGGGGGGGGTGCAAATTTTTAAATTTTCGAGGAACCCTCCCCCCCCCAAAAAAAATGTGCTCACCCCCCCCCCCCCCCCCCCCCCCCCCCCACTGAGCGACTTTTCGAAAGACTTTAAGAAATCTTGGATCTGCACCTGGTATTAAACTTACAATTGATGGCAATTTTACCATCGATGGTAAATTGAACCTTTATTCTGATTAGCTGTTTAGTACTATTAACATGGTAGTTTCCATTGAGGGTAATTTTTATGCATCAGGCCCAGATGGATGAATCTTTTCATTTACTTTTCAACAGAACTGCTAACCAATCACTATGAAGTCATTTTGGCCTCACCAGAAGCAATTACCTCAAAGAAAGTCCAGATGATGCTGAAAGAACAGCTGCAAAGAAAGATATGCCTGATATGTTTTGATGAGGGTCACTGCATATCCCAGTGGTAATTACATGAATAAAAAAACATAATTATAACATCAGTGACAATAAAAGTTCCTAAAATGTATATTTAGGTCTGTACAATTGTGAACAGAATATGATTACAGGTTATGCACATGAATTTTGGTATATCGACCTGCATAGAAATATAAGTACTGGTTGTAGTATAAAGTTGAAGTGATTTAATGAATTCATAACTTCTAGCGAGCTGGTCCCATCAAATCTCAGAGTTGCACAATTTTAAAAACTGTTTTACAAATTTGTGAATCAATATAGTATCAAAGTAAAACATTAAAGTCTGTTTCTACTGACTGTTTCTTCATATTATCAATTTATTACAGGCAAGCAGTCTACGTCTTATTTATTCTATTTACATCGTTTGCATGATATGTATACGACACTTAAAACACACAAAAAACATGAATAGAAAGTAATGTGCGATGATAACTATTATCACTGTCATATCATTGTTCCAGGGGCCTGAACTTTCGACCGTCGTACAGAAGGGCATGCAATGTTGTGGCCATCTTTAATGACATCCCTACCCTAGTCCTAACAGCTACAGCCACCCTCCAAGATTTCTCTGATGTCAAGAACATATTGGCATTATCTCCCGATCATGAGGTGATCTCAAAGTTGCCAGATAGGTGTGTATGCATTAATGGATATTGATCCTATTTCCAAGATGTTACCATTATAGGTGAATAATAAACAGATTCAATGTACGTTAACTTTATCCTTGTTGATTTTGAAAGATAAATGTAAACAAATATACTAAGCTTTGTTGAAGTAATTCAGCTATAAACCTTAATTGCTTGGAAATTGCCCCAATAGGGGGAGGGTCGCTAGAACAGTTCTGATAAGGGGAAATGAAGAAACAAAAGCTAGATTTATGTAATTTACTACCGGTAATTCAATTTTATTTTCTAAAACAAGTAGGCCTCTGTGTTTTGCTCATTCGCTTTGCTCCCCACCCCCCCCCCCCCCCATCTTCAACAACTCCGAGAAACTTCAGTTGATGTTCTATATCTCCGGAAATATATTTGGGGGGATGTGTGGAAACACAATTTGCATGAAGACTTTATCCAAATTTGGATTCCTAATTAGCATCGATATAAGTTTTTTTTCTTTTCATTCTTAATTAATTTTCAGGCCAGATATCTACATTCACATAGAGAGGGTGAAAGAGAAGTTCCAGCAGCACCTGGCCTGGGTGGTCAAGGAGGTCATTGACAATGGTGCTAATGCAAACAAGATGCTCATTTACACGAAGAGTGTAAACACATGTCAAAAGATCTACTGCTGGATTGCAGAGGAGACGAAGGGTGCTTGCTGCGGCTGCCATTATCCTGCAAGACACAGGCTGGTAGAACAATACCATAGTCATACAACAGGGAAGAAGTCAGACAAGATTATCACGGATTTTTGCAGCAGGTCAAGCTGCACCAGAGTCATTGTAACCACGCTTGCCCTGAGTCTGGGTGTGGATGTACCAGATGTTGAAATTGTCGTCAACTGGGGGGTTGAGAGTGCCCTCTCATACTGGCAGGAGGTTGGTAGGTGTGCCAGGAATCTTGACAAAGGACTGGCCATACTCTATGCGTACAAGAGGTCCCTCCATCAAACCAATGATAGCACCATGAAGGAGATGGTAAACGAAGAGAACTGTGCCCGTGACACCATCTTGGGCATTTTCAAGATTCCTGGCACACCTGACCTGGAGAAGAAGGAACGTGTCTGCCACAAGTTGAACTGCACTGAGAAGGCACCATGTACATGCTCTTTGTGCATGTGTTGTTCAAGTTGCTACAAGAGGTGCACATGTGCACATAAATATGTATGTGTACTGGCCAGACTTGCTAAGGTTTGTACACTATATGATATTAATAGACGAAATAGAAAAAGAAAGACTATTTCCAACAATAACACATAACCATTATCTGAAACTGTGCTCTTTCTTATCATTATGCCCTGAATTGCCCATTCTCTGTTCCCCTTTTTATGTAAAAGAGAACTAGAATAAATGATTAAGATAAGAAGGGAAATATTCTTAATATGGCTATCCCCTTGTTCTTATTCAAATTAGATTCAGATTTTGGCATAATGATAGATGACTTTTACACTACCACTGTTTCACTTGTTGTTTATTCCATTAATTTTGCTAATTCAACTCGTTTTATTCTTCTCTCACTAAGGGTCGACATCTTGGCCTTGTACTTGTCCAGATCCAATGTTTGTTCAAACTCGAAGTCTTCGAATCCTGTATGCGATCTCCCAGGGATTTCAACTAAGCACTTGTTTTTGACCAGGAGTTCAGCCAGACTTGCAGTATCAGATTCTCTGACTTGGACAGAACGCTTCTTTAAAACTGTCTTTCTTCCTGTCACCTTAGTATCGAACAATCTATTTAATTGTTTCTTCACCCCAACCACTTGACTGTAGCGTGATATGACACTCTCAGTAAGATTTCCTGCCGCATCTTTTGTTGACTCTTTATAGTCTTTGTTCATGAACTCCATGCCTAGGTCCTTTCCTAGATTCTTCCCCTCACCACCATGTATGTTCACTGTCCTATTCCACTTAAGCTGGTGAGCTATCCTTTCCGACACTCCACCATTAACATCCCAGATAAGACTGTGTGCTTCAATGAGGTATTTCCAGTGGTGTTTGTCATAGAAGTGGGGAAGATCTAGAAGCCAATGTTGGATCATTCGATCACCGTCTCCTTCTCTTATAGCATCGTAGCATACCATTTCACCAAGGCCTAGATGAAGCAAAGCTTTTGAATATTCAAATTTTGAGTCTACACCAATCTTGTGTCTCTTTTGTTTTCCTGTATCCTTCTGGTGTCGTTGGCTACATTCCTTGCTGCAAAACCAGTTTCCTTTGGGAATCTTATATCGCTTCAGTTTTAGGCAGTCAAGATGGAACCATTTCCCCCTTTCACAGCTCTTGTTGTTACACATTACCATTTCCACATCTTCATTTTTTTCTTTGCATATGCAGAAAGGCCCTTCATCCTCCTCAGAATCCTCAGAGTCCTCCTCGTCGTCAGACTCATCTCCAACATGCTCCGCAGCTTCCCCTTCCCACGACGTCTTGTCTCCCTTGGTAGAAGGAATTATCTGGTAAGGATGGAAAGACATTTGCAGTACAAATTGACACGTGTCACTAAAATACGATGACTTGGCCTCAGGATCTTCTGGTACGTCTTTAGGATGGTCACTCGGCTTTGATATGCCCATAAATTCACATGCTGCAGCGACCACATGTGATTCTGTTGCAAACCTCAAGAGGCTTGTAGCATAGTTGAAACACTGGGAGATTTTCGGTGTAACGTTAGTATGCCCGTATCTGGATCTTATGAAGGACATACTCCCACATGATTTTGTACTCTTTGCATCATACAGTAGTTTGTAAGTGTCCTGTAAAAAAGAAATAACAAATGCAAAAATTATTAATATGTTATGGGAAAATATGTGTATAGACATAACATATAACAAAAAGGTAATATTACAGGGATGTAATATATAGGGACAATTAACTCCCGCATTTTGCTCCAATACACAAAATGACTAAAATGTCATATTTAAAAGAATGATTTTTTCTTTTCTTTATGAGGACCTATAACAATATACTATCTATGATAGATTTTGATTACTGCCCCGAGGGAATAGGCACTGATGAAGAACCACAACATAATGATATGTAAGTACACAACAAATGAGAGAGTTGTCCATATCATTTGTCTCAATCGACTGACCAAATTGCCAATTTGAAATTTGCATAGATTTAGTGATCTCACTTTTCAAACATCCGTAACTTCCTTATTCTTAGTCCGATTTCTTTCAAACTTTCACCATTCTTGTTTCTTATTTTTCTGCTTCCACACAAATCATTTTATTACCGAGGTTAGATTAATTGCCCTTAAAATGTGTTTTTTTTGTTGTTGGTGCTTTTGGGAAGTGGGGTATCCCCTCTTTTGACACTTTGGGACAGCTTTATGCCATATACCTACATCCTTCATAATTGGTATCAGTTTAAAGTTCATAAAATGCTTTGATATATAACTGGATACAAAATTACATATTTTCATAAATAAAACTGTTGATTGAATTCCAGTAATGTTTCTTGCTAAAAGAACGCGCGGACACACATTATGTGTGCTTATATGGGTTGATGTAATATTTTGTTCTATTTTTGCACACATCAATATATTCATCATCATAACTCTAGTTAGGAATGGTGTTTATTTCTTATCTTAGTATCAAATTAAGACAATATGGGCACTTATTACAAAAGTAATCCCATAATAAATTCAAGTGGTCTACATTATTAAGTGTGCATTATTTTACACAAAGGGGAAATGTAAAAAAATATATATGTTTGTATATTTTGCTACCATGGCAACATATCATGTGCTCTCCTATGTGTAAATCATATTTACATTATTCTGTAATGTAGGCCTATACTTTCAAAATATATAAAGCTTGCTATACCCTTGTAAAGCGCTTAGAGACATTTGTATTAAGCGCTATATACAAATTAAACATTATTATTATTGTTTACCCTTCCGATTTTACCATTCAGTATTGTCACAAAAAAAAATACACATCAATTTGTCTCATTTTGTCCCATTTAAGTTATGTTAAGTCAAGCAGTTAACCATTTAAAAGCAAAAACAAATGGGAATTAAACTGAAATGGTACCGTTAACATAAGAAGGCGCTTATGCCACTCCTGTATGGCTGGTTGTAAGCCACTTAGTCTATCCCATGGTGTATCCTCGTTGATTCGAGCTCCCATGGCATCACGTACTCTTTCACAGGATAGCTGGTCCCCATACAGAACCACAGGGATTGGTGACTTATCTCCTGGAACGTATCTGTGCAAATAGTCCAACACATCTATCATATCGGAGACTTTGCTCTCATCTTTTTCAAGCACTCCTAACGGTACCTGCAGGTTTAAGATAAATGTCACAAATGTCATAAAGAAGAAAATCCTTCTGAATAAAACATTTTGTAAAAAATGAGATTTGTGTCACTTGTATGGAGCAAATAGGGGAGTTGTCCCTATACTACATCACAGTGACATTACATACTCCGCCAATTTCAAATTTCCTCATGTAAAGTAATTACAAGTTTCATAAATTCATTGTCCGATTTTGCTCAAACTTTCACCTATCTGCTTCTTTGATTTTTCATCTTTCCTTCAGAACAACTTGCAATTAGGGTTGGATTTCCCTTTAAAGAATAAATATACTTTTAAAGAAGACTTTACTTCTCATCAACAGACATTCAGTTAACGAAAGAGTGAATCCATTTGCCTACCAAAAGTCTATTACACATCCTCAATCCACTTAACACTAATCATGTTTTTTTTTCTTCATGGAATACCTATCAACCTTCTGATATTGAAGTTTCCTTTCTTGCATTGCTTGCCACACCATAAGCAACTTATTTCTGTAACATGAATAAGAGTATAAACTTTACTGCTCTCAAATATTTGTTAGCAATAAGTCATAAGATGAAAAAGAACAAGTAATATCAAGTTTAGGTGATATAATTGTGACATAATGTCCATAAATCTTTGAAAATGTTTGAATGGTAATATGTTGAAACCTACAGTAATTGAAGTACATTGATAAGAATGTATATTTACCATGACACTCTTCTTCTTTGTCTCTGCGAGATAAGGATGTGGGATGTGCTCAGTGATGCTCATATCCCGAAAGCAGGGAATGTGGTTGCAGAGTATCCGGGCAATCATCACTTCATATTCATACCTGTGAAGTTATATTCGAAGGTTATTAGCAAGAATCACAACTTAAATTAAGTATCATGTAAGGTTTAGAAGAAAAAAAATAATTTGGAAACATCAACTGAAATAAATTATGTTAGAGATGACATTATGGAAAAGATAGCATTACCACATTTGAAACAGGTAGGACGGTAAAGACTAAGGAGACGTTTAGAATGTCACTTAATTATGTATCTTACATGTATAATGTTAGAATCAGAAATCCTTATCAGAGAAAGCGTTTATGACAATAGAGACTTAGGAGATAATAATTGATGTCACTCAATGATGTGTCTTTCATAAATAAAAAAAGTTATGATCGAAAATCTATATTCTAATAAAGATGTAGGAGATATTTGGAATGTCACTGAATTATGTATCGTACATGGATTATGTTTGTTAGAATAAAAAATCCTTATCAGAGGATTTTCAAGATTAAAGCAATACTTGCATTACCTAAGTGTTTTTTTCTTCTTGTGTGTGATGGTGTGTGTGTCGAGAGAGAGAGAGAGAGAGAGAGATGGGGGGGGGGGGGGGGGGGGAGGAGGCAGCGGGTACACATATTTTACCGTAGCATTTCAGTATCTTTAGTTGAGGGCAGAAAGACATCTTCACAAATACTTGATAGTTGTTCCAAAGATGGAGGCTCATCACTGAGATGGAAACATGGAACACGGTCGATCTCTCCATACGATTGCACCAAGTTGAACTGTCTGTTTGCTTTTCCCTCACTTGAATGAAAACTTGTTCTTGTCCTCTGGTTGACATTGTCAAATGTCAAGGTAAATCCCAATGGTGTTGCTGTGGTGTCATCAGTTTGGCCATCTGCCAGGGATTATGAATTTAAAAAGCCAACACAATCAATCATAGATGCATTCAATCAACAATATTTTTATTAATTTACCTTGCATGTCGGGAGACTTGAATATATATATATATATATATATATATATATATACATGTATATGCAGTTTAAACCTCACAATCTGGCTGTAAATATATGTAGGTCTATTCCTATCTGAATATGCATATTTGGAAATCAGCGGAGTGAAACTTTTTTTTTTCACCAGTATTTGTACTGTCATTATTCACTTATAGCAAAGACACTTTCATCTTGTGTTTTGAAGGATACAGATTGGTTTTTGATAATACAATAATACAGGTAGACAAAATATCCTTTCTTTTTGTTTGTTAGTCCTGTTATTTATATAATCTACTGTTAACATAAATAGTTTTTCTTGTTCATTATCACCAAACTTTTTAAATTACCTTTGATGAATACTCACACATCTTTCATCAGTATAATGTTATTAGTTATTCTAAAATTTCTAATCATGATTTTTGTCTAACATTTCTACATATCAAATATACATTAATCATGCAGATAGGCAAACTGGTAAACTGGAAAAGAAGATCAATAATAACGATTAAAAAAATTAAACATGCCAGCTTCTTACAAAGTATGGTTTCATCAAGGTTAGGGCAGGATCCACCATTATTGTCGGGATTTGGGCTTTGATCCACGGGCCATTGGCTGAGAGGGGTGTCAGGGGCCTCTTCACCTATAATGGATTTACAAAACAATAATTAGACAATTGCTATTGAATGATTGCATTATAGTAACCATTTTTGCTTTTATTCTGACAAGATATTTTTGCATTCATCTCTTATTATATCTTTTTATGTGATTTACGTAAGTAGTCATGTTGTGTTTTTATGTGATTATGTTATGTTATATTATTTGTTTGCTTGCTTTTTTTATGCATTTGGTAAAATAGGGAATTAGCCTTGACAGGTCAATGGCCTTTGTTAATCCCTTGCATCCACTACCCTTCATCCCTCTTCCATACTGCCATGCACATAAATGTTTTTTTTTTAAAGTATATTGTTTATGATATATTGTTTAATCTATACTGATTCTTTTGAATATCTTCTGATGTGTTTTTAAAGAGATGTGAAATC